CTGCCCAAGAGCCACACATTTACTTATCGTCATCACATGGAACAACAGTCATGTAGCACGATCCAAAACAGATCTGCTCATGAGCCTCACCTGCAACAAGGGTCAACGAACCTTGAGTACAAAAGTACTCAGCAAGACTTAACCGAAATAAGAATTAATAGAATGCAGGAATGCAGACTTAGGGGATTCAAGGTATGGCTTTAGCAATAATCAAAGTTCTTTTGCGTAAAAGCTTTTTAACAAAATTCTTATATCAACATTTAAAACTTCATAAGATCATAGACAAAGCTGACACGATCCGTATTAAGATCATGAAACTTCATAACCAACACCTTCACAAAACATCCTCAAGTTCCAGTTATTTATCTACGATGATGAACAGAGAAGTGAGTCTCCATAACCGAGGAGCAATGACGATTCGAACCGATTAAAAACCCAGCTGGGAATTCCAGACCACACGACATATGCAGGTCTTCGACCTACATATACCAACCTACCCTCAGATCCTCTAAACAAGAATGGGTCCGCGCCACCCGAGAATACAGTACTCCACCAATCCAGCCCATTGCCACGTGGGTACACGCTATTCTCGCCATCTCTCCACTCCTAGTGCGTGAGTAGCCATTCTCGTAATAGAATAACCAAGTTAAGGCTTACCGAAGTATGTGGTTAGTACTACAAAGTCTCACCGCACACAGTTCAACAACGGTACGGACCTTAACCGACATAGGCGGAAAGAACCCGCTCACAAGACCTCCATGTCTTGTGGCTCACACATACCGAGTCCGCCCGGTCTAGATTTATTACTTCACATGCTCATATCACATGATAACATAAGTAACCAAAGTTCTATTTAACACTTGCAGATGACAGGTAATCACCCGACTTTCATCGTTCTAAGCATAGCTAAGCAAAACTAGGCATATATGAATTAAAACTAATAACAGGGTAGATATGGAAGAACAAGGTTGATAATGCACCAATTAGATTTTTACTTAACTCCTAATCACTTAATGCAGTACAGAAAAAGCAAAAGCAAAATCAATTGGTAAAACACAAGGTAGGGTTAAACGCATCCGAGGCTTGCCTTCGTTGATGGAAAAATCTGGGTCCGGAGTCGTTCCACCGATATCAACACCAACCTCTAGAAACGGATTAACCTCCTCAACTACTTGATTAACTACCACGTGCTCACCTTCATTCACTACACGTAGTAACAATGCCATATTTAAAATGACGCGAGATACAAAATATGATACTCGATGATGGATGCAAAACTAATAATTTTGAATACAACTTTCCTTCGCGGTACAGTTACAAGTCAAACCAACTAAACCTCTTTCCTAACACCTAATTCAATTGCCAAGGATCATTACCAACTAATGACCCAAGGACATCACTCAATCAAAAATTCAATCAAAACCTAAATCATTAAAGGTTACTATTTGCTTTTATGAATTAATTATTTAATTAAGAATTATGAAATAAATCAACTTATTCCAATTGAGCTCAAAAATTTTGTAAATGTTCATCTCATGATAACTAAGTGGCAAAACAATTTTCATAATTTTTTGATACATAAATAAGCCTAGAAAAATCATGGAAACTCATTTATTAATTAATTGAGCAATTTTTATCACATTCAAAAAGTACTAAAAACAACATTTCATATTTTTGTTAAATAATATACATCATAGAGAGGTCACACAAAAATTTTCATAATTTTTGGAACTCTAAATAAATCTACACAAAACTAAAAAAAACTATTACTATTCATCAATTTCTGAAAATAGAAAAATTTCATTTTGAACTACACAGTCACTGACACCCGGGTCCCACTTGTCATCCCTAACCTCGCGCTTTGACCACGGCGACACGCGCGCTGACCTGTGAAAACTCACCGACGGCGAATCCAACGACGACGACCAAGGTACCAAAATGACCCCTACATCCCTACGCGTCGATTGGTGGCACAAACGAGACCAACCACGGCCAGGACCGAGCATGACACCGGCCATGGCGGCCACGACGGTGCGGCTGCGCTATGCCGGCGACAGGAGACCGGTAGCGATTAAATAAATGGCACAGGAAGCACCAGAAGCTCACCCCGAACGCGCTGGAGTCAAAGGCTGAGCCGAAGGAGCAACAACAAGGTGGTTCGACGAGCTGAGCCAACGTCGTCGGTGGCGGAGTTCCGATGACTGCGGTGGTCAAAATGAGCAATCAACAAGATGTTAAGAACCACGGCATCGAGACGAAGCTGAAGCAAAGCTTTTCAATGTCAGAGGCAGACCGTAGTGCGCTGGCCACGACAACGCGCTCGCGATGGTAAGGTTGCCGACCAAGAGGAAGAAAGGCGTGGACATCGATTTCTCGGTGGAGGCAAGCGTCAAGGATGGTTCAGATGAGTGCGCAAGGAGCAAGCGGAGCTGTAGAAAGCTTTACTGAGGCTGGAGAGGCACTACGGCGACGACACGGACTCGCCGGAGTTGAGCGGTGGTGACGGGAAAAAAACAGAGAAGAAGAAAAGAACGACGGCGACGGCGTCTCGGCCTTATAGAGCGGCTCAGAAGCTCAAGGAAGCCACGCGGAAGCCTTCACCGCGCCAGCGCGAAGCCAAGGGCGGCCACAGGTGCGACTGGAAATCCGAAGAAGGTCGCCGGCCATGTAGCTTAGGCGGTGAACACTGTTCACAGTAATTACAGAATTGCCATTTGTTTAAAATTCCAAATTACCCCCAAATTTGTATAACAACTCAAAAATCTCCAAAAATAAAAGTTGTTCAAAATCAAAAGTTCTACAACTTTGCTTTTATAACCATACCCAAATTCGGTCTATATTTTGAAATGCAAATTTGAATTCAAAAAGGGGACATTTAAAGAATTACGCATTTTCAAATTACTCCAAATTTTTCTAAACAACTTTGAAAACTCCAAAAACAAACTTTGTACAACTCAACAAGCTCTACATTTTTGCTTTAAGGCTCAACCCCAAAATGTGATTCGATTTTGAAATGGGTTTTCCAGGTCAAAACTTAAAGGCCGAAATTAGGGTTTTCGAAAATCCCAATCCAAACAAAACTTGGAACATGATTCAAACACTACAAGGCAACACTTATAACACAAATATAAACTTGTTTTAGTGAATGCATATCAAAGTTCTCAATATGACCAAATGCTTTGCAATGCATATGATGACATGGCAGTTGTAGTATTTATAACACCCGGGGTGTTACACATCGGTAGCGACAGCATCGCGACGCAAGGCGGGTCGGTAGTGCAGACGTGACAGCGAGTTGATGGCACTAGCAGCGGCTCCATCGTGGCACGTGCGGAGCAGTCAGCAGCAGCGGCGGTGGCTCCGCACGACGGGACCAACGGTAGCCGAGACCTGGCCAGGCCAGAGGCGACGACGACCGGCCGTGCGCAGCAGCGCATGCACGCACACGCGTGACCAACGCGGCAACATCGAGCGCTCGATCACTGTGATCACGGCCACATGGCCAACCAGCCCAAAATCGTGCTACACATAAATTTTAAAGCGCTCAACACAACCAAACGGTTGCTCCTAAACCTAAACCGTCTCCACCATGCTCAAGATGGCACATGAGACTACCAAATTGAGGTATAACACTACACCACTCCTTAACCCAATCTCTCACAATAAATTGCTAGACATAGCAGTGTCTAACTGTTGGCAGACTTGAAATTTTCTGTTTTTGAGCTGAATTTGATTTCAAGTTCCGTTTCTAGACTATTAGAAATACCAGCTAGTAACATTATTTTTCGACCGCAAGTATTTCACTGTCATCTACAAAGTTTGTACTTCCAACTTTATTAAGGTGACCCATATATGTTCTATAGCATTTTTGCTTAATAAAAATTGGTTTTAAACCCTAAGTAATATAACATGACTATCGAATCAACTTTCGTTTCGCATTCTTGTTGATCGTTTCGAGTTACAGAAATTGATCTACACACTTTATCACATGCATTAACACATAAACATGATGCTCGTGACATGTTTTAGTAACAATTTACGGTGTAACACCGAGGGTGTTACACTGACCGCCCTCTGGATTTGCGCGCAGAGCGACCCACGGTCATCATGACCGTAGAACGCACACGCGATCACGCGCCGAGTGAACGACCGGTAAATCACAACCCCGGTGGAAGAGGCCCGAAAGCCCCCGAGCCCGTGCGTAGGGAAGCCGGGTCATGGACGCGACCCGATGTCGTACTTAGGAATCCACCTCTAGGCCGGTCCTTAGAAGGGCTCGAGGCCACAAAAGGGATAGGGATAGGGAGGAGATGGCCCTCCGTCGCTCTAATTGGTGGTGCGGAGCCACACGACCATCTCTCTCTGTGTTCGAGTCGTCTGCTTCGAAGTCTCCCGGGTTGACCCCCTCTGGGGGGAGGTATCTTGCCCTCTGGCCACTGTGGAGGAGGTTGGGAACCAATGGGATTGACGGCCGACGATTAATGGGACATCTCACGTGAGGCACAGCCGAACTCCATGTCGATTGGGGAGGATATCGGGCCCAGCTCGGATTACCCATCGACCCCGACAAGGCGCACCACTCCGACCGTGTGGTTACAGTGGACATGCCTCTCCCCACGTGGGGCGAAACTAAAAAACATGCCTGCAACAAAGGCATCATGACCCCCTGGGTCGCAAAGGGCATTAGGGAACAAAAAGGAGGGCGCCAGCGCTCCCGAACCCTCGACTCTCATTTGGATGGCAACGCATCCCACGGGAACCATGACCCCGGTGGCGTTGGATTGAGGTGACTACCTTTGGTCAAGGAAGACACCTCTAAAACCCTGACGCCAAGCCCAAACAAAACTTTCACTTAAATCAAGAAACAATCCCAGGTCAAAGCCTAGGAAATTACAAACTAACCTAGCCGAGCACCGCGGTGCTTCACAAACATACCCTTCTCTGCTTCCCAATGAAACAAGCGCGGCCAGCGCCACACAGCATGGTAACCTCTAGGAGCAATGGCGCTGAACAGGGGCTTACGGGACGCTCCCCTCCATCGCAACAAAACACGACGGAGAGAAGCACCCTGCAAAACTCTATCTAGCGCCACAGCTCCCAGAGCACGGGACACAAAGGGTGAGAAGCGGCTTCATTGCCGCCATCTCACAAGGATAGGGACGGCTTGGTGGAACCACCCACAGTAAGGGCCACCTCGCACATCCAAGCCAGTGCGCTTCGGAAAACGAGGAGGTCGCAAAGCTACAGTTCCAGTGACCAAGCCACCCAGTCCTGCCCAGATAGCAAGATCCCTCCTAGCACCAGATGATAGGTAGACAGACGCAAACGCCCGGCCATCACAAGAAACCTTCAAAACAGAAACTCACGATGTGTCTCTCTGTCCTACCCTTCCATCTCCCTCCTCTCTCAAGAACAAGCACCTTGAGAGAACTAGCAGAACAGGTTCTCAAACACAATCACGGATAGCTCAAGCGAAGGGCCAATATTTATAGTCCCAAGAGAGAACCGCGAAAGCCACAACCAACACCAGATGCTCACACAAGATTAGAAAAAATCGAAGCCTCCCCGAAGGCAGGACCGATGCAGCGTTGACGAGACCACACGGCCTCGCCTAGGTCATGGACCCTGATGAGCGGCACGCTCACACAGCAAGGCTCAGCAACCATATACCCCTTCGATAGGACGGGACGGGCACAACGTCCAACCACCATCCTAAATACACCAAGCCCGCAAGGGGTCGAGTGGCGAAGCTCAGAAAAGCCACGACTACGAACCCGCGCTCTAACGCGCGCACGCACCAGCATTTTCACGATCACTTCACGATCGTAAAAACGCTCGGGGACTATTGTCAGGGTTGTAACATCGGGGTGTCTCAAGGCACCGAGTAGTAGGTAGGCTACGAGGCCCACAATTTACCCGATAGCGAAAGCCCGAACGACCAAGGCCCAGCTAAGACAAGCACGCCAAGGTTAGGGTCAGCCACGACCCCTACCAGCCACCTTAGCCATACGGCGCCCGCAAGACGCACGACCTCTCCTCCGTCACGACCCCCCGGAAGGGGTGGAGAGAGGTCGTGCCTAGCTAAACGTGCTTGCTCTGATAGGAGCAAGCACGCCGGACTGACCCCACAAGGACCGAGGGGACAACGGTCACCTCGGCCCGGTCAGACACCATCCCTGTGCCATGCCGCTCCAACGAGACTACACCGCACTATGGTGGCAATAGGTATGCTACCCACTGTCCAAATGCGGACCGACTAGACTCTTGTACGATCCCACCCACTACGGGATGGGATCCACGACAAGAGGCTCGATAGAAGGACATCCATACAGGAAGAGTGCCCTACCCCAACGATCGAGGTCGTGGCCCTCGGCCCCGCAAAGCGACCAAGTGATCGACGACCCAGGGCAGCTACCTACTTTGGGTACGACGTCCCTGGGAGCCAGGAGACCATGATGAAGGTCACGACGGACACCGCGTTGCACAGGACGGCTGACGAACCACCAACGAGGCTACAGTGCCGCCACGACCGGCACAGTAGCACCACGTCACGCCCTGCCGCAACGTGGCCAGAAGACCATGGCGATAGCTACGACCTGACGTGCATAAGAAGACGGCGTAGCTTGCAAGCCAAGTTAGCTAGGACCTCCCTCAGGCTCTCGACCCTTTGATCGGGAGAACCTCCTCTTTGTACAAGCCCTAGCCCCGAACTCTATATAAGGACCGCCAGGACAACACGGTTCACATTCTCTACCAATCCATTCATTCACCATTGTAGTAGGACTCCTGGAGCTTCCCTTCGGGCAGCCACTTGCCTAGCATAGGTTCCACCACCTCTTTCATCATTCTTGCACCCCCTATTGTAAGAACTTCAGAGCATTCAAGCGAGGAACATGCACTCCATCATCTCTGAGACTGGACGTAGGGCTCCGGCCTGAACCAGTATAAATCCTCGTGTCTATTAGATGCTACCATCGTCTTTCTAAAGCAGCACGGCAATCGTATAAATTTACTAGTCCGATTTACGAAACACCGACGGAAAGAAACGTGAGTTACTACAAATTTCCCTATGGTGACAATTTCGATGGCACTACTGTTGTCAAAAAAAATCTATAGCACTACCGTTCGATCCATCTGGCCACTGCTCGCTCTACTTACTGCGAGTGTTGACAGCAGCTTTGTTGCTTTGGCAATTGGGCTAAAGGCCTGAAACAGCGGCCCAACCATTCGTCTGTGCTGTGCAGCCTAGTATCCATCATAGTCCACGCACCAAAATATCCCTCTTTGATCCCCTTCTTCCCCTCTTTTCAGGTCTTCCTCCTCTTCGCAGTTCGCACCCGTCCCATTCGAGAGCCCCCTCCATTGTCGTCCTCGAGCAGCTTGCCCGTCCGCGGAAGCGGATGGCCTCGATGCCTCCCCCAAGCGCTGCGGGCGCCGACTCTGATCAGGTCCCTTTCCTACACGCGAGTTCCCAATTCGTTAACTTTGTTGCTTCCCCCCAATTCGTTCACTCGGCTGCTTCTCGCCGTGCGCGCATCAGACTTCACGGTCTGGGTTATTGGACTGTACCCGCATATCGGAGGGCGGGTGGTCGGGTTGTCGGATTATACCGTCCGATCGGAGGAGGAACCACCACCTACTCCATCTGATCCCTGCTGCTGTAGCTCGCTCTCTCGCCGGTTCCAGAATATTTGATTTAGATTGATTGCTTTACGTTTACCACACGAGTGTTGTGTCGGTCTGAGGATGCATGCTCCTTGGCTAACTTGACCCATGCGTTGCTTCAATCGGTCTTAGGATAGGAGTGGTCCATAGTGTAATGCTGGCGTTAATTGATTCTTTTTGGTCCTGCGCATACAATTCTGAGATCCAATCAAGTTCATGAGGTTTCTGGAAGCTGTTACTTGTGATTGTGATGATGATCCAGGATTTTGTTCGAATAACAGTTCACAGTCATGTCATAGTGTTGAACATATGCTCCTGTGATCCGTATCATTTGTGCTTTCTGTATTGCACAATTGTGCTCAGCTTAATTTGCTATAGCAACCATTTGATGGTTGTTTAAACCAGAACTGAAAGCATTTTTTTTTTCATATCCTCTATTTTTCAGATTTTGGTAGAAGCGAATGGCTTTACAAGGACACTGATTTTGAATAGGCCAAAGCAGCTAAATGCGCTCTCCTCGGCCATGGTATGTTATGAGTTCACTAGTATTACAGTACCTAGAATTACTTTTAGAATAGTGGTTGCAGGATGATTGTTCTTTCATATGGCAGATTATGGGACTCTTGAAGTGTTTCACTGCTTATGAGAAAGACAATGGAGTTAAATTGTTGATTATGAAGGTATCTAATACCACTGTGTTTCTATTGTCGTTGATGTGGTCTAACTTGGATTATAGATGTCTCTGTCTTGTTTTCTGATCATGCACATTGAGGTCACCCCTGGGTGCCATCTATTAGTGTGCGTTTGTTCCAGTAGAAATTACCAAGTAGCAAGGCAGTGATTTGGAACATGAGTTGCAAGAATTATTCTCAAAATCAATAACATAGAGAGTTTGAGGTGGTTATTCTGTTCTGAAGCACTTTATTCCAATTCGATGCGTGTATCAGGTGCCAATGATGTTTGTTGCCATCCTAAGGCTTACAAAAGGAAGGGAACAGCATTTGTCAATGTAACTGCTTGTATTGTGTTTGATCTAAGTCTGTTCACCTCATAGAATACCTTCACACTTGCTAAAACATCACTTGATGTGGAGGCTGAGATGTTACTCTTCCATTATCTAAAAAACTTGCTACAGAGCTTACTTCAACTTGCTGTTTTTTTTTTCCCTTCAGTTTAGTTTGTTTCTAATTTCCTTCTGTTAGCTCTATTTGATTGATATGATTATCACTATCGCATCATTGCCTTGATGCCTTCTGTTGATCCGATTGTTTGTCATTGTATACGATCATCACTTGTTTTCAGGGTAATAGAAGAGCATTTTGTGCTGGAGGTGATGTTGCTGCAGTTGTCCGATCTATACATAAAGGTACTTACAGCTTTACCTTGTCTCTGCGATATCTAATATCCAAAGCTGATTTCTTACATATTTCGCGTCGTCTTCTGTTACCTCACTTAATACCCATGTTACATGTAGCATATGTGCCTCGCTTTGTTTCTCATTGTTTGCTGACTCCGCTATGTGTTTAATCCTTAAATCAGACAGCTGGAAATATGGTGCTGATTTCTTCCGAAATGAATTTTTGTTGAATTACATAATTGCAACTTATACCAAACCTCAGGTGAGCTTCATCCCTTCATAGTGGTTAATTGTAATTATGCACTTCTGTGTTCCTTGCCCCTAAAGGCTAAACAATTTAACTGTAGGTTTCTCTTCTTACTGGAATTGTCATGGGTGGAGGTGCTGGTGTTTCTTTACATGGAAGGTTTCGAGTTGCCACTGATAACACGGTATATGCTACAAACCGAACTCAAGTGCAATTTACTAAAGCTGTTACTTTTTACTTATCTATTGAAGATGGACTGTAGTTGGGAAGCACAAAAAAAGTTTGCTTGTCATGATACATCTTGAGATCTGCTTTTTTAAGTACTGCTGAATGTTGTCCCATGCTGTAACAATCTAGAATTCGGGTGTCAAGTGTGGTTCTTTCCAAGTGAGATACTGTAATTGTGTTGTGACTGAGATAGTGAGATATATTATTTGAGCTTACCCTCTTATATAATTTACGATGTAATTCTAGGTGCTCTCTCTTTTTTTTTAATATATGCTAGTATTGCATGACAGTGCAAAAATGTTACATGGTTCTAGAAGCTAGCTTTCTTAGTTGTACTGCATGAGGGTTCTAGAAGCTAGCCTTTCAATATATTTGTCAGAACAAGTCATAAATAAAACTTGAAAACATAAAAGTAACAACTTTTGAACAAAACATACCCATATTGCTGCTTTAGGGTTGAAGAATAATGCATCCACATGCTGGATTTGTGTCATTACCTAGCACAACTTTTCACTGCCATTTATGGTGGATATTAGGCCTGAATGTTTTTGAGAATAGGTTTCAGTTATGGACTTATGGTATGAACTACCCTTTTTGTGAGCTTGATTGGTGCTAGTAGTTCAACTCATTTGGAATATGGAGAATCTTTCTTGTTTTTATTGGAAATTCAGGATACTTTCAAGTGCCAAAATCTATATCATTTACATTTCAACTATTCATGCAGGTTTTTGCAATGCCAGAAACAGCTCTGGGTCTCTTTCCAGATATAGGGGCCTCATATTTTCTGTCCCGGCTTCCTGGATTCTATGGTTATCTTATGTCTCTTCTTTTTCTTTATATCCAGTCGAAGTACATATTGCCATGTCATTTCCATCTATACAGTATCGTTGGATATCTTCACAGTCCTGAAATATTATGCACCCTCAAATTTTCCTTTGAAGTTTTTAAAATACAGTGTACTTAATTGATTTTTAGCAATAGTGCTTCATGTGCAAATGATCTTTTTTTTTAGCAATTGTCCTTCATGTGCAATAGTGATTGTGGAGATATAATCATATAGGTTGTGGAGATATTATCATATAAAAAAATGAAGAGTGACCAAATGTAGGCTCACTTATAACTTATATTAGTTGTACTGCATGAGGTATCTTAGGAGATATTGTTCACTAAACTGTTTTCATGTTCTTTTCTCCAGGAGAGTATGTTGCTCTTGCTGGCGCCAGATTGGATGGTGGGGAAATGCTTGCATGTGGTCTGGCAACTCATTTTGTCCATTCAAATGTAGGTTCACTTATATGACTTAATTTTTTTTTTTTTGACCAAGTGCATCTCCAAACAACCTTTCTATACATTCTTGGAACAAAACCAATCAATATAGCTGTCAGCTTTTGCTTTCAGTTATGATGTTTTCTTTCACATCTTTGGTTATTATTGTTTGGAACATGCTACAGAAATCCTGACCATATTGATATATCATTTTCATGCTTTCAGTTTTTGTTGGCCTGCATTGTTAAGGTTGCGTATGTGCTATATCAGTCTAATAACTCCTAGTAAATACTCTGTTCCTCAGAGGCTGCTATTGTTGGAAGAATCACTTAAAAGGTGGATACTTCCAACACCTTTGCTGTGTGTGTATAATCGATCAATTTGCTCAACAGCCATCACTGAAAGAAAGCAGCTCTTTGAATAGGTAAGAGTGTTTCTGATTGGACGACTGAAACATGCCTTGATTCATAATTTTGCTAATTCATTCTCTGGCACTCCCCAGGTTGGAAATCATCAACAAATGCTTTTCCAAAAGGACAGTTGAAGAAATTATATCCGCTTGTCAGTTTGTTACAGTTAAATGCAGCGTTTATGGATTCACCTGTTCTATCCTGCAAAACTAATATATATTATGTCAGGAACTAGAGGCCGCAAATTTGGCAGATGAATGGGTTGCTACGACAATCCAGTCCTTGAAAAAGGCTTCTCCTACCAGTCTGAAAATCTCTCTGAGATCGGTATCCCTCAGAAACCACATCATATTTGTACTATTAGTCTACAGTCTGGGCCTCAGTTGTGTCCACTTTAGTTGTTTCATTTTTTGTTCTCTAACTCGGTTTTCAGATAAGAGAAGGGAGGACACAAACTGTTGGGGAGTGCTTGCAGCGGGAATATAGAATGGTTTGCCATGTCATGCGTGGTGACTTCAGCAGAGACTTCTTTGAGGTAAATAGCAACACCTTCGACACTGTTTATTTTCATTCAAGATCTCTATACCTCATCGTGGCAAGGCCTCTATGCCTAACATCCGATTCCTGTTGCAGGGATGCAGGGCTATATTGATAGATAAAGATCGAAACCCAAAGGTTTGGATAGTTTCGTATTTAGTACATTGATCGGAATCTGGTGCTGACATCTTAATCGTCTTACATTACCTTTGTATTCTGGTGGTCTTTTTTGGAGTACTTGCAGTGGATGCCTCCAAGGTTGGAACAAGTGCATGACGAGGCTGTTGAACAATATTTCTCCAGAATTGATGATCCACAGTGGGAAGATTTGAACCTACCTACCAGACGTTCCCATGGAAGAAATATCGAGTCCAAGCTTTGATTGAAGGTCATGGGAGAAGGGTGGAAGTGGAACACTGGAACGGAGCGTCGGTAGTGGTCAGAATAACACACTACTACACATCATCTCAAGTTTGGAGAGTCTGCAGACTATTGATAAAATAAACCTGAATGTATAGGTCAACTTTTATCACAGAAGAAACTCTTTGATGTTTATGCGTGGAGTTGTATCCATTATTAAATAATTATAATTAATCTCCAAAAAAATTAATTGGTGGAAAGACTTTTGTCAGAGTCAGATCTTGACTGATCGGCTTACCTCTGTTGCGAAACGCGTGGTGATAACAGATGACTCGATGAGCTTTCTACACGGCCCATTATCAGATGAACGCGTAGGCCTGTGGAGCTGGCCCATGTACGGCCCAGGACACTTGCATTGTTTCACTGCCATTTCTAGGCGAGCTAGCTGGTTGCTCAAAAAAAAAAAAAAAACTGTAGCCTGAAGCTAGCACTCCCAGTCCCAGGTTCCTGCTGGCAAGAAAGGTTGAGAAATCCTATAAGAAAAAAGGACAGGTTGAGAAATCATACCGTGAACCCAATGGCTAATCTCTATCCGGTACAGGGCCGTCACTTTCTCGGTTGCTTTTAACCGCGCCATAGCGACCGCTCCTTTTTCACGGCACTCCACAGCGGTCCAGCCACCACTAGTAGCATATAAGTAATATAAGTAGGGGTAAGTACTACTACGTAGCAATTCCAAGTCGTCATGGCGACGTATCAAATCTGCATCCAATAGACTAGTACGCCGTATGATTTTTTTTTTTTTGGTTTATATAAAGATAGTCAAGGTCACGACTCACGAGCTAACCAAAAGTCTCCTCTTGCTTTATTCTTGGCGTGTAGCCCACCTCACAACTAAGCTTTTCTCTTCACGTCGTCATCCCTGGTAGATTTTTTTTTTCTATTCCTATTTTGCTAATTTTGTTTTGATACTTTGTGTTGTCTCTCCCATGGAATAAAACTTGACCATGCTCGAAAAAAAAAAAGGAATTGAACTTGACCAAGCATCGCTACTTAGATATTTCAACTTGAGCAAGGCAAGCTTCGAACACATGTTGATGGCCATTGTAATCCATTAGTTGTTGCATTAGAATTCTATCTCACCACATCAACATACCACTAGCATGTGCAACACTTGATCTATTTTTGAAACATCCAGATGAAACATTCACATCATACGTCTGAAGATAAATGAAACACTTGAAACATGCGATTGAAAAATGCGTGTATAGCCATTTGCAACATGTGCAACACCAAGATCTACTTTTGAAACAACCAGATGAAACATTTGCAATATACGTCTGAAACACCTGAAATACTTGAAACATAGACTTGCAACATGCATATTTTGTCATTACAACATATGCAACATCCAGATCTACTTTTGCAACATCCAGATGAAACACTTAAAACAAAAGTCTAAAACGCTCGAAACACTTGAAAACATATGCAACATTCAGATCTACTTTTGCAACATCCAGATGAAACACTTAAAACAAAACTCTAAAACGCCTGAAACAAAGCATTCATCGTGCGGCCACGACCTACCTGGTAGGGAACTGCGGTAAATCGACGAGGTGGACAAGGAGCGGATGGAGGCCACCCTGATGGAGGCGCTGGAGTGGCAACGGCGATGTCCCTAACGATAGGGCGAGCAGGCAGGGTGCTCCCAGTGATGGCCGTGAGCGAGAAGTGGACGCGGGTGCGTACGCTGGGCCGTGGCGCGTTGGAGGCGGAGGTCTTCCTAGCCGCCGACCTGGCGTCTAGCCCCTGTGGTGGAGGCAGCAGTGGTGGTCGGGCAGTTGCGGTCTGCCTCTCCACGAGCGAGCGACGGTCGGGCAGCTGCGCCAGTCAGAGGTGGGGAATGACGCGGCGGCCGATGTGAAACAGAGAAAAGTGTAGCTCTCTTTTCTTTTTTTGGGGGGAAACCGTGTTTGCCGTGGTGATGGGAGCAGGCCTGTGGGCCGGTCCACAGGCCCATCTAGGAGCGTCCGGACCGACGGACACAGGAAGGACGCCCACGGTGGAGCATTATCTATATATTAAATTAAAGATAAGACTCGTCACAGGTAGAGAAAAAAGTAGGAGACTCATTTTTGGATGAGTCTCATGAGTGTAAAAGAAACTTTCATGAGTTTTTGGGAACTTTCAGGTTAAAGGAGGGTAACTAGATCAGGTTTTAGGAAGATACCTGGTTAGGGAACCAACCGCTCAAATCCCAATACCCAACTTTATTCAACGTTGTTCATAGGAAAGAAGCAAAGTTTGAAGATTTATTAAATCAGGTCCACTTAATGTTGATGGTAGAAGGGCATAAGTGGGAAACAAGCACTAGAATGGAACCACCTAGTAGCAAGGATGGCTAATATTAACCTGCAACAGGGTAATGATAGTTTTATTTGGAGTTTACATAAACTCACTGAGAAAACTTGGCAAAGAGGAATTGGGATGGAGATAGGTCCCGTTGTTTTTAAGCAAACTCATCTTTTCTTTGAATGCTCACGTGTCATGTTTTTGTGGAGAGCAATCCATATGGCGATAGAAATGAATCCACCTCGAAATGCCCAAAACTTATCAATGTATGGTACTCTTGGAAAGCTAATAAGAATCTTCTATCAGTCTTACTGATTGGTGCGGCGACCATTTTATGGTCAATCTGGATAACAAGGAACAAAGTTGTTTTTGACGATTGTCAATCCAATTCTCTTGTAGGTGTTATCTAAGGGATCCATTGGCTTCGATTCTGGACCAAATTGTAATGCAACGTTGTGAGGGTCAACAAGCATTCTGGACCGAATTGTAATGCAACTTTAGAGACGCGACAATAAGACTCTTTGCGTTCAATGCATGACCTTCTATATTTAGAATTGGATTTTGAGTTGATTTTCTTATAAAAACTTTGTTTACCCAGAGTTGTTAAGTTGTAATAAGTTGGTCTGATTCCTCTTCAACTGAGGTGAAGCCCGATACTCTTTTCATTATTAAAAAATGCACCTGAGCAAACCACGTCACCCACTAAAAATCATTACGCTGGGTACGCTCCTAGTATATATATATATATAAATTATTAACCCCACCGATCTACTAACCACGAACACTAGCTGGATAATACATCTCAACGATCGGGTCAAATTAAATCCTGGGCTGGCGGTCCCAACCACTAGCTAGACCATCCAGCACCAACTCCTTGATTCAGACCTTGTTTAGTTCCTCCGTCAAAACTTTACACCATATCGTATCGAATGTTTAGACACATGTATAAAGTATTAAATATAGATAAAAAAATAACTAATTGCATAGATTGCAACTACTTTGCGAGACGAATCTTTTAAGCCTAATTAGTCCATGATTTGACAATAAAATGCTACAGTACACATGTGATAATGGCGGATTAATTAGGCTTAATAAATTCATCTCACGGTTTACTAACGGATTTTTTAATTTATTTTTTTATTAATATCCAAACATCCCATGTAATACCAATGTAACATCAATGTGATACCCAAAACTTTACACCGTCTTATCTAAACACCACCTCAGATAAGCGGTGCTCGTTCCCTGGGCCTGTTACTGCTTCTGATACTTCCCTTTCATTTCAGCGTCAGGTCCTTTCTTTTCAGTTGTTATTCCTCTTCATTTATCACCACTGTCACTGCACCGTTGGAGAGCTCCGTATTTTTCTTGTGTTCGTGTTCGTCATGTGAAAATGACGTGACTTTGTGAGTGAACAATAATACCGCCGTACTCCACTGAGGGCGCGTTTAGTTGGAGAAAATTTTTGGTTTTGGTACTGTAGCAATTTCGTTTGTATTTAGTAATTAGTGTCTAATTATGGACTAATTAGGTTTGAAAGTTTCGTCTCGCGATTTCTCACTCAACTGTGTAATTAGTTTTGTTTTTCGTCTACATTTAGTACTCCATATATATGCAGCAAGATTCGATATGATACTTTGAGATGAAAATTTTTGAATCTAAACAGGGCCTGACCACTGCTGTATACAGGATGGTTCAGGTCACAGGGGCTAGCTAACGAGGAGTGTCTAGGAACCTGCAGTATTAAACACAATTATTTTATATTTTATGGACGCAGAAAAGAATTCCTTTTCAGGCCAAAATATTGGACTTTTTTTATCGAATGCGCAGGTGCTATATCTTATTTATTTATACCTGCCATCATCACTTCTGGCTTTCTTTTTGGCGATGGTTGAATGCGTCATCAGAGAAGTTTCAGGCAGTCGATTCTGACGAGCTGCTCGGAATTATATGTCCATGTAGTAATATAAGTAGAAGGGAGATATCGAATGTGAAAGCATGCATGACTTATGTGCAAACAAACTTGGTTATTCTCTACACATCACATGTCTAGAGTTCACATATATACTCCGTCCATTACAAATTGTTGACGCAAATATCGTTTTCACGTCAAAAAAGCTAGCACACCCAAATTGCAAGAGGATCACTCGGACCACTCAAAAATCGAATCGTGGCGAGTCAAGAAAAACCGGCTTAGGCGATCTGCCTTGGAGAAAAACCTTGGAATGCCTCCTAGGAGTGAGCCCGTCGGGAATTGAAGGCGAACTAAGATTATACAGGGTTGGTAAGGCCACGTAGAACATCCACAAACTCCATCAAGAAGTTGTCGAACAACAGATACTAGGGTTGGAATAGATAGGATTTGGAGAAGGTGTAACACTAGAGAAACATTTCTTAAGGAAATCTCTAGACCCGAAACGTTTCTACCAATATCTAAAACACTGCCAAACGCGTCCGAAATTTCAAACTTTCAGTTCGGAAGGTGTAGTAATAACATGTCAAGTCCAGGGGAATCCGAAGCTGCAGAAATCAGCGAAAGTCTTACACATCCACATGCAGAGTATTCTATATAGCAGCCACTGCTTTCGCTGACCTGTCTCAGTTTATGTTCTTTGTCGATCAGTGCCGGTCTTAATTATTAGAAGACCTAGCTGTCCCTTTCACAGCCCT